TCGCGCATGGCGGGCCCCTTCCGATAGGGCATCGAACGAATTGGTTTCGTTCCCGGTTCAAAAGGGATGCCGTGCTCCGTGGCTCGGATCGTTCCGAGCGCACCGCTCCACAGACTCGAACGCTTACCGAGCATCTCGAGTACGTGGCCACGGAGCTTGTCATCGTCGATGTATGACAAGTCCACCTCTTTTTCCCAATCCATCGGTGGATTTTTGGGATCCTTTTTGTGGATGTTTACGGTGCCTCCCGCCGTCGGTTGGTCTCTAGGTGGCCGATCGTCCGTACCCACCTGTTCCCTCCTAACGCTCTCTAGCTCATCGGAGCTTGGTCGTCCAGCTCTTGCCTTCCCGACTTGATCGGTCAAGTCGGTCAGGTGTAGCGCGTGTGCGACACCCTCGGCGACGCGACGTTCGGGCGTCAGGATCGCGAGGGGGTTGCGCTTCGCATACCCTACGACGGTGTGCTTCGGAAGCCGCCTTTCCCGTCGCGAAAAGTTCGCGACGAGGACGTCGAAGGTCTGATTCGGCAGTACCTCGACGACACCGTTCGTCAGCCTCACCCCATGTCGGTGTTGAAGTGACGGCTTCGGCTCCATGAATACGAGGCCCCTCCTCACAGTGGTGACGCGCACTCGGGCTTGCGACCTCGCGGGGATGGTAACCCAGCGGGCGATTCCGATCGCCTGCGGGGCCTTCTCTCGTACATCGGGCCGTCTCGTCTGGCGTCCGCTACGCCTGGTACGGGGAGTCGGCTCCCCTTTGCCGTTGACGATGGCAACAGAGCCGCCTTGGCGCAGCTCCATCCGTTGAGCCTCGATGTCGATACATCGCACGTGCGTATCGATGAAGGCCGTGCCGAGGAGGACCGGCACGGCGAGCTGGTCTGCGACTACGAACGGAATTCGGAACACCGTGTTCCTCAACCGCACAGCCAGGCGGACGACGGCCGAAAGCTTGGGGGGGTTGCTATTCGCGCCTGCCAATCGTGGCAGAGGTGCGTCGTGCACTACGTAACGCGTCCAATCGGGGGGAAGGTCGGCCTTCCTCACCAGATTATACCCCGAGCACGTATCAACGGCGATCGTGCGGGGTTTAAATGCATTTCCCTCTGTGGCTATCGAGCCGAGGACGTTGTAAATCTTCGAATTCATAAGGCAAATGACGCCGTCGACAACCTTCGGGGCGGCCTTATCGGTGAGGTCGTTCCGCCGGGGCCTTCGATTTCGGTGCTGGCCCCGCTTGCGTTTCCTTCTCCCCCTTTCTTGGGGCGTCCGCGGATCAGTGACGCCCCCCGGATTATTCGAGTCCGTTCGACACGAACCCTTCTCCGGCGACCTTGGGCTCGCGGGAGTCAGGGGGTCGACCGAATCTTTTTGGTCGTTGTTGCCCCCGTCGCCATCGTTACGCCTCACCGGGACGTCGGCTGTCCCGGTGTCTTGACCTCCTAACGTCGGGCCTTCGGAGGCCTCGACGTGCGCTCCCTCCTGTATCGGCATTACAGGAGCTCCCGTGCTCGCCTCCGGTAGCGGGGGATGTATAATCGGACAATACCCCCCGTGTCCTTGGCGAGCACGCGGGGTCTGGTCTAGTTCGTGGGGAAAAGACGGCTCACGCGACCGCGTGTACGTAACCGTCTTTACCCTTTTTTCGAACTACCCGTGCTATCGGAGCTAACCTCCTGGCTATCGACAGCCAGGTCTTCTTCCGGTAGCCGGCCGCGTGGGTCGGGACGATTCCCCCACTGCGGCTCGGCGGCCGTGGCGAAGTATTCGGGTACTTCCGGGCCTTGACCTGCGGCGTCCGGTCGTGGCAGGATATGGGGGACGAAGCGAGTCGGCTCGCCTTCGTGACCCTCTGTGTGCAGGTACATTATCGCATTTTGTACCTGTTGGGGTAACCGAGAACGGTCTCGGTACCCTCTCTCTCCTTGGCGCGGGTACCTTGTGTCCGCCTGCCGGTAGGCGGGTCGATCCCGACGATCGACTTCGTTACGACAGTACCCGCCTCCACGGGGGGCGAAGCGTGCGCCACCACCCGATCAGTTCGGGAAACCTTGACGCGGGGGACGGCCCTCGCCCGCCGCCTGCCGGAGGAGATTACGCGCACCGGGGCGCGTCTCCATCTGGTAGCGGTAGTTCCTGTACGCCGTGAACATTCGTTGTTCCGGCGACAGGAACGGGCACGCGTACATGGCATGCCCGTACGTACGGCATAGCCAGCACACGTACGCGCTGCTGTCCGTTGAGGCGAAGGTCGCCGCGTGCCGCGCCTCCTCATCGGTGAGGAGGGGCACGCGAGGCGAGGCGCTTCCCCTATCTCGACTCGAGATATTGAGCTCGGCGACGCGGGGGTCCGTGCCCCTTGCCACTCTCGGAGTGGCTGCGAATGCGGTCGCGTAACTCGATGTCGTTCCGGTCGACATCGGTGAGGGGGTTCGTGCCCCCACGGGCCCTGGTCCTTGCGTAATGAGGACAGGGTCGGCCTGCCACTCATCCTCCCTGATATGGAGGGTCGAGGCGGGCGAACTTGTCGCGGCGGACTTCGTAGTCCTGCCAGCCCTCCCTGCCGGTTTCGAATCCGGCAGAGGTAAACCGCGTCGGGCGCGGTACGTTGTACCTTCCGCCGTGGCGATACGGCGGATGGTCGGAAGATTGGTCTTCTGACTGTCTGGCAGCCTTTGCGCAGTTTCAGATACTGCGGCACGGGTTGCCGGTGCCAGTCCCCGCACGAAGTAGTGCGCGAGGGACTGTTCGGAGAAAACTGCCGTGCATCGGAACGCGGCAGTCTCGAGTCGGTCAGCAAACGTGCTTTCCGTCTCATGCGATTGCTGTCGCGCCGTAGCGACAGCGTCGTACGCTTCACCTAACACGTCGTCCGTGAGGTAGCGCTTCAATAATTGATTCACGAGCCCCGGCCAGCTCACGTCGTCATGGAGCTGGCCGGCGCGGAGGCCACGCATCGTATAACTCGTATACAGGCGCTCCGCGTCGCGCTCGAGGAAGTGCGCGAGGACTCGTACCGCAACACCTTCGGTCAGGTGTTGCGAGTTGAAGGTGATTCGGATATCTTTCAAGAACGGCAGCAGCTGGATCGGGTCGGTACCGTCGAAGCTGCGCATCGTGGGACGGATCCCACGACAGCGTTCGACGTACTTCGCGATCCGTCCCGCGTCACCCGAGGTAACGAGCCTCGAGGTGTTATTTAAGCGGTATATACGATAGTCAGCAACGGCGCTGAACTCTTGGATCATCGTATGTACCGGCTCTAGCCCGGGTTCAGCGGGACCCAGCGTGCCGAAGGAGGTAACCGGTAGCGTACGGACGACTACCGGACCTGGATGCTCGGCGTAACTCGCCGGCGGATAGCCGCCCCAGCGGGGATCGACGGAGAACATCGGTTCTCCGGATCCGCGGGCGGCTCTTCCACGGTCGTGTTCGTCCGCGTACGATACGCGGTCCACTTGCCGCCTACTTCCGACGATAGGCGCCAAGGCTTGGGTCTCAGACGCGAAGTTCGCGTCTATCGGAGGACGGCTTCCTTCTGCAGTCCGACTGGTAGCGGCACCAGTCGGACGCCAACCTTCGGGGGCGGCGGCGCTCGGAGGTACAGTACCACCGGGCCCTCTCGAGGGGGCACCGGGTAGCCTTTCGGCCATGGTACGTTCCATGTCACGAGCACGCCGACGAGTGGCGTCGAGCTCAGCTGAGAGGTGCGCGAACGCACCCAATTGCTCTGCGGACGGAGAGGTTCGGTCCTCGGGTCGTCTCACCGAGGTCGGCCTCTCAGGGCGACCTTGCCCGGACGGTCCGGGCGAGGCGAAACGGGAGTCTTCGACGAGCACGATCCGCGAGTGTAACTCGTCGATCAGTGCTCGGAGATTCTCTAAGGACGGCGTCACTCTATCGAACCTCCCTTCACGCAGGGAGCGGAGTTCGGCCATACATCGAGTGTATACATGGTCCGATACATCGATCCGAAGGGAAGTACGGACTTCCTCGATGTATTCGGCTATGCGTTCGAACATCGCCGCCGCTCCTTCCTCGGAGGATCCGAGCGACGTTTCGCGGTCACGAGGACCTGCGTCGCCGTCGCCCGACGGGGCGGATGGGGACTGCACAGCGGCCGGACTCAGATCCGCCGCTTCGGAGCGGATCGAGGGCTCAAAATCTTGGCTCATCTCGACGCGATCGGTTCGCGGAGGGAAGCGGAAGTCTTCTCGGAGATCGGACTCCAGGGTCTTCTAGGTCGGGAGACCACTGTAGCATAAACACCCCCAACGGAGAGGGGTGTATGCACAGCTCGACGTAGACCCCGCCCGAACGGGAAGACGGGGGTGAAGCCGGACACCAGCTAACGGCACCGGGCAGCGGGCCCGGGTAGCGTGGTAGAGCGGGAACAGGGAGGACGCCGGTACGCGCGAACGGTTCGACGCCTCGACGCCCCGGCGCGGTACTGGGTGACGATCCAGTACCGACGGGCGGAGGCGGAGCCGGCTCGTGGGCGTACCGCGCGCGTCCTCAACCCGCGCTCGGTGCCGCTCTAAGGTAGTTAGCGAACGCTACCTTAGAATAAGCGGGAAGTCGGACCTTGACGGTCGGTGGGTGACAAGTCCGTGCTTGTCCCCCTCCGCCGCCGTCGGTCCGCTCCGTATTTAATATACAAAACAATCTATCATAACACTACAGTACCGAGGTACTGTAGTGGGCTACTGTAGTGCAGGTCGGCCTGCACTGTAATACTGTCAGCTATGTCGAGGCTGACAGTACACGTATTACCCGTGGTGCGTGCGCGCTTCGTTCGCGCGTGGTACACGTGTGCACGTGTATGCGCGTGTCCGTTGTCCCGGTGGTGTACACGTGGACACGCGTGGTTGTACTGTAGAGCGTCGAGCTCTACAGTAGGGGATCCTGTTGTTGATCCAATCTAACTAACACGGGGCGTGTAACGTATATCGCCGCTTCGTTAAGGGCTTCTCGAAAATAGCCCGTCCGTTGACGGATATGACGCGCAAGGATTCCGATCCTGACTTCTATAATCCTACCGAGGATCAACTCCAGGCGTTCGAGAACCTTAAGGAGTGCATGATCGCTCCGCCGATCCTCGCGTTGCCTCGGCATGGACGACCGTACATGATCGACACCGACGCGAGCGCCTACCAACTAAGCTGCACACTGCTTCAAGAGCACGACCAGCCAAACGATTGGCGCCCCGTTGGGTATTGGTCTTACTCGCTGAACGACAGCGAACGAAACTACAGCGCTACCGAGCGCGAATGCTTCGCCGTAGTGTGGGCTGTCCGCACACTACGGCCGTACGTTGAAGGCACGAAGTTCACCGTCCGAACAGATCACGAAGCCCTGAGGTGGCTCATGTCCCTCACCGAGAGTTCTGGAAGACTCACCCGGTGGCAGCTACGTCTGGCTGAATACGACTTCACCATTCAGTACCGCCCCGGGCTCTTGCACCAGGTACCGGACGCCCTGTCACGCCTCGTGTCGCCGAGAGTCGCCGACAAACCTCGCCCCAGCGTCGAGGTGGATGACGACATTCCCACCTTCGACGCGGGCACGACCGTTCGAGACGTATCGAACGAGCTCGCGGGCCACGTTTGCATCGCGAGCTGCGACCACGAGGTCGAGCACATCTTCGCGACGACACGGAACCTAGCCAGCTCACGAAGAAGGTCGCGCGCCCGAGCGCGCCACGAGCCGAGGGGCGACGACGAAGCCCCCGCTCTCCAAGGACCCAATTCGTTCTGGCAGGAGAATGACGAGTTCGACGCCACCGACATCGAGCGCACCGCAGACCACGAGGCTGGCGCGCCCGACTCTTCGGTCGCCCCTCTGCAGGACGACCTTCCGGCTTCTCTTACGATAGAGGAGATTGCCGAAGAGAAACGCGTGGATGACTTCTGCCAAACCGTTTTGGCACGACGGTCAGAGTCCCGGGACTCCGCGTTCTTGGAGGACCACCAGGGGGTGCTCAAACGGAGACACCCCTTCGACCCTGCTATCGTGCAGGTGGTGGTACCTCGGACGCTCCGCGCTGGGCTCCTTAGCCTGTGCCACAACCCGGTCATCGCAGGGCACCCGGGCCAGAACCGTATGTACTACGCGCTCCGTCGCGAGTACTACTGGCCCCATCTGGCCGCAGATGTTGCCGCCACGGTGCGAGGTTGTCGAACCTGCGCGATGAACCCGGTCAAGCTGAGGAAACATCTCAACCGATTGAGATTGTTTCCAGCTACGAGGCCGCTCGAGAGTCTGGCCATCGACATCTTGGGGCCGCTCCCCAAGACGAAGTCAGGAAAACGGTTCCTGCTCGTGATCACGGACCGCTTTAGCAAGCTGACGCAAGTCGTTGCGTTTCGCACGATAACCGCATACACCGTCGCAGTTGCGTTCTGCGAATCGTGGGTGTTTAAGTACGGCGTCCCGCGCACGTTGCTGTCGGATAACGGACCGCAGTTTAATGCCAAGTTTTTCCACAGCACGTGCCGTGTTCTGGGGATAACCAATATGTACACATCGGCGTACCATCCCCAGACGAACGGGCAAGTCGAGCGATACAACCGAACGATCGCTGCGATGCTACGCAACTACGTAGGCGAGCATCAAGATGACTGGGACATGTACGTGGGGCCGCTTACGTATGCGTATAACTCCCACGTACACCGCACCACCAACACGACGCCGTTCGAGCTCGTGCTCAGCAGACCACCGCCGGAGTTCTCTCTTCGACGAATCGACGGTGACGTTGCCCCTGCCGACAGGGGGAACCAACGTGCCGAATTCCTCAAGACCTTGAATTCGACAATCCAGAGGGCCTACGGGAGCCTGCGACGGACGCAGGCTCGCTACAAGCGCGACTTCGATAAGCGCATACGACGGATCAATTCGCGACTCCATCCGGGAGAGTACGTATACCTCAACCCCACCGACGGGGGGAAGACTTCGAACAAGCTTGCGTCCCCCGCAGTCGGACCCTACCGCGTCCTCGCGAACGACCACCGAACCATCACGATCGATCGTGATGGGGTCACTGAGCGGGTCTCCGCAGATCGTTGCGTATACGCGCCACCGCCGACGGACGCACTACGGGCGAGCACAACAACCCCAGCTGACCTCGCCGACAAGGTCAGAGAGGGGACACAGTACGCTGTCGAGCGACTACTGAAGCACCGGGATATGGAAGACGGAACTATCGAGTTCCTCATCAAGTGGGCGGATTTCGACACGCCCACCTGGACTGTGCGGACTCACGTCCCGGAGGAGTTGGTGTCTCGTTACGCCCAACGCCTCCGGAAACGCACCGGCATGGACCTCAACTCAAACGTGAACGCGGACGTTCACGCTTGAGGAGGGCCCTAACCGCTCCTTTTGAGATAAAGGTAACCGACCGCGGTTGGACAAAATTCCAATAAAGGGGCAAGGACACCGGTCCTCCAACCTCCCCCGACGGGGAGGGAGTCACACGACTCCAGGAGAAACGCCGGACGAAGATCCTCGAAAGGAGCACGCAAACGCGAAGAAGTCGCGTGACAGCAAGCAGTACGGGCTGCTCTATGACAATCCCAGCGGAAGCGGCAACTAACGGAGAAGAACAACGGACCCTCCCAGCCGACAATACGGACCAGAACCGCGGTAGTCCACAGGGGTATTAACACGACAGCATGAGTCAGGGGGTCCCAAATTCCCTCGCCGCCACAGGAGCGCAGCAGCGATCTGCATGAACTCTCGAATCGCCAATTGTTAAACGCCAACTCACGGGGCAGGGCGTGGGATTTCACGCGCTCTGTAGCGTGCCATGCCCACCGAAAGGGTCGCCTCGATAACCTGGCGCCGGTGCGTGAGTACGCGAACGTACGGGGCGCCTAAAATAAGGCACGAGGAGCAATGGAGGCGTACCCATGCTCAAGGTACGGACCAAGTGAGGACGAGGTGAACAAGCCCGACGCGCAATTAATACGTCGGCGCAGAACTCGTGCCACAACTGTCGACCCGCCTCACCGTCAGCCTGCGGTACGCACTGTAAATTCGGTACAGACCGTTCTGGCAAACCGCCGCCACCGACGGCAGAAGGTTAAAAACAAATGAAATTAAGCGTGAATGGGAAATTACACAGCCACGCGCGGGTGGCACGTGCGGGAAGCGCCCCCGAGCCACATGTAATCGATGACAGAGCAGCGATACGTGCGTCGCGCCCGACACTTGGCAATAACCACCCCACGGGCGGGGACTAATTTTTTGGCAAAAATACATTTTCGCGGGAAAATTATTTTTTGGAATTATTTTTTTGGGGGATTTAATCAAGGTCAATGCGCTTCTGCGCACGTGCAGGGCTGGACAGCGCGCGCGCATGCGTGTGGCACTGTAGAGAATGCGCTCTGCAGCAGTTGCCGGACAGAAACGCGCACGCGCTCGCGGCACCTGCCTTCACTACCGACCCCGCGTCTCCGCTCCCTCCTTCCGCCCGCGCGATGCTGCTCCGCCGCGCGCTCTGACACCGTGCTGCCCTACGAGCCCTCGCCGCCGACGGCAAGGGGGCCGAAGAGAATTGCATTCGTCGCGCGCCGCGCCCTCGCCATCGGTGGCGAGGGTTGCGAAGGATATGGACCGTCGTCACGCGTCGTCGTGCGCTGCGCCCTCGCCATCGGTGGCGAGGGTCGCGAAGGATAAGGATCGTCGTCGCGCGTCGTCGCGGGCCGCGCTCTCGCCATCGGTGGCGAGGGTCGCGAAGGATAAGGCCTGCGCCGCGCATTCGTCGCGCGCCGCGCCCTCGCCATCTGTGGCGAGGGTCGCGAAGGATAAGGATCGTCGTCGCGCGTCGTCGCGCGCCGCGCCCTCGCCATCGGTGGCGAGCGCCCCGAAGGATAAGGACCGTCGTCACGCGTCGTCGCGCGCTGCGCCCTTGCCACGGACGGCGAGGGCCGACAAGTCTACAGTACGAGGGGGGGGGTCGGTACCGACCGCCACCGCCCGGGCACAGGCCCCGGAGCGCCCCCGCTCGCGCCGGTATAATGCTGCGAACCGTGCGGCGGGAGCCGATGGCGCCGGCACGCCCGCCACGAGGGCGAGGTACGCCAGATAGAAAACGGACTTCGCGTCTTCGCGCTCTTGCCTCGACGGCCAGCAGCAAGAAGAAGGGTAGCGAACGACTACGCGTCCGCGCACTTCCCCGATGGGGAGTGGCGCCCCAGTGAGGCGACCGTCGCGAGCGCAATTGTGAATGCCGATCACACACCGGACGGACCTCCGCGCATCGGACGCTGCGGTCGTACGAGAGGAGCCGTTCACTCTCGCGCCTCTCGTTGCTCTACGAAGAGAGCCATGTTCGAACAGCATGATGGGCACGCAGAGTGACGACCGCCGGCAACCGCGAGGGGAGAGGCGCGACCCGTAAAGGCACCGCACGAAGCGCCTTGTACGCGATCGTCGCCCCGGACAGGACGACAGCCAACGGAAGGGGTGAACAAGAACGGAGAGCACGACGCACGAGGAAGTGAGAAACAAACGCAGGCGGAGGGGGGGTAGGGAAACGAGGATCGAGTCTGGGAAGGAAGCACGAGTCACTCTATAAGCACATGTGACCGCAGACGTTCACACTTGTGGGGGGGGCCGTGCAGTATAGCCCCCCCTGGGGGCTTTTTAGTTAGATTGGATCAACAACAGGATCCCCTACTGTAGAGCTCGACGCTCTACAGTACAACCACGCGTGTCCACGTGTACACCACCGGGACAACGGACACGCGCATACACGTGCACACGTGTACCACGCGCGAACGAAGCGCGCACGCACCACGGGTAATACGTGTACTGTCAGCCTCGACATAGCTGACAGTATTACAGTGCAGGCCGACCTGCACTACAGTAGCCCACTACAGTACCTCGGTACTGTAGTGTTATGATAGATTGTTTTGTATATTAAATATAGAGCGGACCCACGGCGGTGGAGGGGGACAAGCACGGACTTGTCACCTACCGACCGTCAAGGTCCGACTTCCCGCTTATTTCTAAAGTAGCGTTCGCCAACTACCTTAGAGCGGCACCGAACGCGGGTTGAGGACGCGCATGGTACGCCCACGAGCCGGCTCCGCCTCCGTCCGTCGGTACTGGATCGTTACCCAGTACCGCGCCGGGGCGTCGAGGCGTCGAACCGCGCGCCCGTATCGGCGTCCTCCCTGTTCCCGCTCTACCACGCTACCCGGGCCCGCTGCCCGGTGCCGTTAGCTGGTGTCCTGCTTCAACCCCGTCTTCCCGATCGGACGGGGTCTACGTCGAGCTGTGCATACACCCCTCTCCGCTGGGGGGTGTTTATGCTACATCGTGTTCGTTCTCTCACTCATTTTTGGTGTGTTTGTTCTGTTGATCGGCGTGTTTCTGGATTTGGTTGTCGAGTCGGAGGGTTTCGCTGGTTTGTCCGGCGGGTTGTTGCAGTTCGGCTCGTATCCTTGTGCTTTTGCTCTTCAGTTTAGCGTCTGCCTGTGATGCGGTTGGGATGGTGACGGATCGTGTTCAGTGGTTGCGTGTGGCCCATAACCTGTGATTCCATGAACTCCGATGCCCCGATCCTCTCAGGAGCGGGCAGCCGTCGGAGTCGCATTCAGGAGCATACGTCCCAATAATGGCCCTGGGCCCCAGAGTCTGTGACCCAGAGCCATACAAATTTGGTCCCAGTTACCAGAGCTCATGGCTCCGTAAAATCCTGGTTGACAATTGATTTTTCTGATATTCGCCTCAAACGGCACTCCCATTGGTCCCGGTGGTGGACCTTGTTGGATCCTGCAAGCAAGGCCTCAATGATGGAATATTTCCATCCACCCTCGATCGGAGCTGTATTGCGATCCGGCATCTTTAAAAAGGTTGATGAATGTTTCTGAAGTTTCAAAGGTTCCCAAAGTGCTGCTGAAAGTTTGAGCAACTTTTTCTGCGAAACTCAGAAACATTCTGGAGACGTGCCCTCTCGCATTGCACTACCAGGCTCTTCCATTAATAGCTGTCCGTTTATTGGGGGCGGTCATATTCTACGAGTAAATCATATGGGAGAATGGATGGCTCCGATTCATCGGTCCCACCGTTTTCAGCCAATCAGAGCTCTTGGTCCTCAAAGAGCCAGGTCCCACATTTTGAAATGTGACTGTCTCCCCGCCTTCCCTGACATCACGGAAGGCGGGGAGACAGTCAAAGAGACGCAGGGATGGGACGAGGAGAAGCGCGAAGCTAGTGAGAGTGCGCAGCGTTAATGTCGGGAGGATGGCGAACAGGGCGGGATAATACGCAAGTGTATGCAATAATTGAAAGAGAGCACTGGGTCAGGTCAGGGGCAGGCGTAGGGGGTGGGGTCTGGGAGTGGTTGGTTGTGGGATTGTGTGTTGGGATTGTGTATTATGTTTATGCGTGGGAGAGTATCAGCAAAGCCCTCGAGGTCGTATAGAAGCTGCTCAGCAGCAGCAGAAGCAGCCGCGGCTGCAGCGCTCGGGGACGCGGCCGCTTCTCACGCAAAAGGCTGGCGCCGATGCGAGCGCTTCGGACTATGACTGCGACAGGCATCGTATAGAAATTATGATGGGCAGTAGAAAAGTTATCCTGGCTTCATACAAGGGCGCCGCAACAGAGGACACCAAAACCAATATATCCAGGTGCTTTGTCCTCTTCCCGGGCACCCAGCGGTCCCTTATGGATCACCACTACGACGAGATCATCATCTCGGCAGGCGTGCCCAGCTGTCGCTGTATGATGTTTATGGGCGAGTCTCATAATCCCTAACGAGACCGCTGTTTCCACTCTACCAGCTCTAAACGATTCTATACCACCTAACTGTTCGTGTGTTTACTTGGATGCGCTTCCAGTGAATTGTCTCTGTCTTCCGGGGGAAAGAAAAGAGCCTCAACGTCCGCGCCCCACCACTACTTGTTTTCCAAATACGCCGCCGTTTCCGTGGGTGTCACCGGCCCATCCACTTGACTCAGATAATCTAAGAGAGACTCACGCGCTTTCGAAGTCCAGAATTGGACAGCTGGTGCGAGCAGTAGATCATCACCTCGAGGATCTTTCCCATACGTAAGCAATTTGTAAACAGCTCGATTAGCTGTAATGATATCTTCCAACTGAGCCACTTTTACACAAAACCGAAAAGAATCGGCAAACCATTGCCAAAACGTTTGCGGAAATTTTAGGCGAAACTATAAACGTCCGTGCAAGTTTTGGAAAGACGTGGTCACAAGCATAACTGGACTTACAGTGACAGGTATTTCCCGTAGCGATTCCATCATGCTTCGTCCACTGTTGGCAGTGGCGCACCAATGATATTTAAACGAATAAAAATGCGCTACAACACGGCATACCAGGCGAGCTGAGTCATGGACGCAACACCAGGGGCAAAAATGAAAATGAGACGGGGCCAGGGCCAGAACGTCTCGGAGCGGATGACCGCGCAGGACCTAAATTATTCTCCTGATCGCGACTCCGTCGGCGACTTTATTGTGCAAGTGTGTGGCGTGCCCTATTGGCGTTGCCTTATTTGTTAGCCTGTCTTACTTGCCTCTGGATGTAACCACACTGAGATGCATACACGTGTCGAAAGTCTCGACAAGCGGTTTTGACCTGCACTATTAACGGTTTGCACTACTCATAACTGCACTATTGAGGAGGTACTCTCTGTAAATCAATGTTTCATGATTCTTTTCATGTTTTAGGATGAGTGCGTCTTCCCTCGCTAGAATCACACGAACATTCATTCACGAAAGAACAAGCGAAAGCACATCTGCTCACCCTACTGACCCACACGACCCGAACTTTCATTCACGAAAAAGCACATCAGCTCACCCTACTGACCCACACGACCCGAACATTCATTCACGAAAGAACAAGCGAAAGCACATCAGCTCACCCTACTGACCCACACGACATTCGGCACTGTTTCCGCTTTCGTCGACAACGACAGGAGTGCCGCGCTGAACGCGGCCTTCAACCTTCGCGTCCCTGTTTTTCTAACAGCCGGTGCCGTTCTCACGCACAACACACTCCTAACACACTCCTAACACACTCTGCACTTCACCAACTTGTCTTTAGCTATTCACAAAAAATGCAGGAAAGCTTCCGGCAAGAGACGGGACCAAGTAGAAAACGGCGAGAGATACAGTCTCCCGATGTGTTCATAAGCCATGCTGGCCCGGACAAGCTACTCATCGCACGTCCCCTTTCCGAGAAATTGCAAGCTCATGGTTTAAATTGCTTCCTCGACAAAACCTCGATGGAGCCCGGGGACTGCGGAGAGGATGAAATGACGAAGGCTATAGAGTCTGCGAAGGTCGGTGTTTTCATACTTTCTCCCGAGTTTGCGGCTCGAAAGTGGACGATGAGGGAACTGCGTTGCTTCCTACGCCGACGGAGAGAGGCGATAGGGAGTGAGATGCGGCCACCGACACTGATTCCGGTGTTTTACAGATTAAGTATTCGGGAATGCAGAGAGTTGGAGCCCGAGTTAGAGCCCGATCGGTACCGGGATGATGAAGGAAATAATATTTTTGAAGTTGAGAAGTTTTTTAGCTTGGAACGACAGCGCGAAGCGAGCACGGATACGGTGAAGAGAGAGCTACAAGAGCTGGCAGGTATCACTGGGATCGAAAATCACGACAGGGCAACAAACCTGCCGGGAGATGAATTCGGCCCTCTTGCAAGGGCGCATCTTGTGGAGCGAGTGTTTCTGTGGGTGAAAAAGAAAAGTGAGGAGCAAGAAGACGACCGCCTTCACGATCGTATTCTACGACCCAGCACGAGCATCGATACTCGCACGGCAGTCGAGCAAGAAGCGGACCACCTTCACGATGGTGTTCAACAAGTAAGCGCGGCCGTCGAGTCGATCAGGGGAGGAAGGGGTGATGTGTTCAGGGCGTCAATAAGAGCCGAACGTAATCCTGCGTCGATATGTGTGAAGCTTGATTCTCACGGGAGCGATGGATTCCCGAACACGTGTGAGTCGCTTCTAAAAGCGGCTGTACTACGGAGAGATAGGAACGAGCAAGTGGGTGCGACAGCAGTGGGACAGGGCGGAGTCGGGAAGACATGCGCTCTACGAGCGATCGCGCACGACATTGAGATTAAGGCGGAGTTTTCGGGAGGAGTGTACTTCGTGTCGTTGGGGAAAGACGGAAACGTGGGACGGCTGATTGAAGAACTGTGTGTGATTGTGGAAGCGTCCGGTGGCAAGCAGACGGCTGCAGAAATGCGAGAGCAGAGCGAGTTTGGAAGGGTGTTGGCAAAGGTACAAGCGTGGTTTTGCAGTCATGTGTGTCTGTTCATCATTGATGATGTGTGGGTGGTAAATGATATAGACACGAATATCCTTCAAAAGTTGTCTGTTCTAGCTGACACTGCGGGGGACAGCGGGGAAAGGAGGAGCAGACTACTGTACTCCACGAGGGATAGGGAGCTGTATCAGATTGGGGAGCGGGTTGCTTTCGAACCGAGGGAGAGGGTAGGGAAAGAAGCAGTTGACATGCTCGTGCACGCGAGTGCGGCGAATCGAGAGGAAGTGGATGATACGAGATGCAAAGAGGCCGTGGGTGAAATACTGGAAATGTGTGGCGGATTGCCGCTTGCCCTGAACGTAGCGGGAACGAGTGTGAGGTACATGAGGGAAAGATGGGAGGGAGAAGTGTCAGAAGCATGGGGGGAGTACCTTTCGAGGATGAAGAGCCGTAACACGATTCGCGGGGAGAGTCCAAAGGACGGATATTTGTCGTTGGATGGGACATTGCATACGTCACTAGATATCCTGGGGTCCAATGTGGGAAGCAGTGGGGAGACGGTTGGTGAGTTTTCGTTTCGAAAGATGCACCGGAGTCTGTGCATCATGAAGAAGCAAGACCGGATACCTTTGTGTTTGGTTGGAGATTTGTGGGAGATAGGCGACGAGTGGACGGAAAGGTGTGCAAAGGAGATGGAAAGGGTTGGATTAGTAGAGTTACAGTATGAGAAGGGTTGTGGTGGGTTGCGGGTGCATGATCTGACGCACGATTTTGCGGTGGAAGAAGCGAAGAAGAAGGAGGGTGTAGAAGAGTGGTGTAAGAAGATGGTGGATGTATGCAAGGCAAGAGGAGGGTTGCTTGAAATGAGTGAGGGCCGGGACGGAGAGGGTAAGAGCGCACGGGAGGAGTATGTTTTCGAGAACATATATCGTATTCTGAAACAGGGTGGGTGTGTAGAGGAGCTGAAGAGACTATTTTTGAGTGCGCGATGGGTGAAGACAGTGCTACAGAGAGGTGGGGTTTGGCAATACGAGGAAGCTGTGAAGGGATTGAGTAGAGACTTGAAGCGGAAAAGAGAAGGCGGGAAGCCAGGAATGGGACGGGTAGATGAGGATGCAGCGGATGCAATGGTTTTGATGATGCGGGCTGCGCGACTGAGTGTACCCTTTTGTGGTGAAAGTAGTGCCGGGATTTACTTTCAACTATTTGGGCGAGTGAAGCACAAGGCACACGATTCAGGTTGTGTGCGTAAGATCCTGGAAGAAATTGAGAGATTCGCACCGTACGTACGGACGGTACGGACGGGGTGCGGCCTGTGAGTGAGTGTGTAGCGCGAGCCGATGGAAGGTTGGTGGAGCATATTGTCCTCCCATCTGACAATTGCGGAGATATTCAAGTCGGCATGGATTCCAGGGGTGATGTGTATCGATGCCACGTGGAGCGGTCCGGTGCAGAAGTAACAGTTTTCACACAATCTGCTGAGAAGGAGACGAAGATGGTTCGATTAGAGGCAAGCAGGCGCAAAAGAGGTGGACGATTGAGGGCATATTTTCGGATGTGCGTTGGAAATGTAACCTCCGAAGTGACTGGAGCGAAACCGGGCATGACAAGAGCTACTTGCGCAACTTTCTGTGAGAGGAAGGGATACGTTGTTGTCGGATATGAAGACGGGACGTTAAGGCTATGGAGCGCGTCGGAGAGGAAAGTATTGATAAGTTTCCGCGGTCATAGGTCGCGAGTGGATTGCGTTGCGATGAGTGGGGATGGAAGACGTGTGGTATCTGGATCGTGGGACAAGAGCGTGCGGGTGTGGGACGTGCAGACGGGAGCACAACTTGGGGAAGCGTTAATTGGACACACGAATTGGGTTGTTAGCGTTGCGATGAGTGGGGACGCAAGACGTGTGGTATCTGGATCGTCTGACAAGAGCGTGCGGGTGTGGGACGTGGAGACGGGAGCACAAGTCGGGGACACGTTAATTGGACACACGGATTGGGTGGAGAGCGTTGAGATCAGTGCTGACGGAAGACGTGTGGTATCTGGATCGTGGGACGAAAGCGTGCGGGTGTGGGACGTGGAGACGGGAGCACAAGTCGGGGACGCGTTAGTTGGACACACGAATTGGGTGGTTAGCGTTGCGATGAGTGGGGACGGAAGACGTGTGGTATCTGGATCGTCTGACAAGAGCGTGCGGGTGTGGGACGTGGAGACGGGGACACAAGTCGGAGAGGCGTTAATTGGACACACAAATTCGGTGGAGAGCGTTGATATCAGTGCTGACGGAAGACGTGTGGTATCTGGATCGTCTGACAAGAGCGTGCGGGTGTGGGACGTGGAGACGGGAGCACAAGACCGGGACGCGTTAGCCGGACACACGAATTGGGTGGTTAGCGTTGCGATGAGTGGGGACGGAAGACGTGTGGTATCTGGATCGTGGGACGAAAGCGTGCGGGTGTGGGACGTGGAGACGGGAGCACAAGTTGGGGACGCATTAGTCGGACACACGGGTCATGTGTTGAGCGTTGCGATTAGTGGGGACGGAAGACGTGTAGTGTCTGCATCGGATGATATGAGCGTTCGGGTGTGGGACGTGGAGACGGGAGCACAAGTCGGGGACGCGTTAATGGGACACACGGGTCATGTGTTGAGCGTTGCGATTAGTGGGGACGGAAAACGTGCTATATCTGGATCGTCTGACAAGAGCGTGCGGGTGTGGGACGTGGAGACGGGAGCACAAGTCGGGGACGCGTTAGTCGGACACACGGGTTATGTGTTTAGCGTCGCGATAAGTGTGGACGGAAGACGAGTAGTGTCTGCATCGGATGATAAGAGCGTTCGGGTGTGGGACGTGGAGAGAGGGATCACACTTGATACGATAGAGGATTGGCAAGACATCACGAGTCGGTTCCTAAGGACAGCAAACTTGGGTACTGCCTCTCGCGAAGGACGAACATCACAAATATTTTCCAGGGAGGGAATAATTGTGCAAAGGCGAGAGGATGGGTCTGAAACTGTCTTGGCCCAGTTGGAGAGTCAAGTAGACTTGCGGATAGACCACGATATTGGGGTCGTAGTTGCAGGGGCAGGTCATCTGGTTGCTATCATGAAGCTAGTGGTCTAGAAAAAGCGATAAAACGCTTGCCGCCCGAGACATGAGTAATGCGCTGCAACTGTGCGCGGCAGTGGCGGGGAGGGTTGTTTTTTGTTTTTGTTGTGAATGCCTGAAAGCTTGCTTCACGGACGTTGGAGTCCATGTATGTGTATCACTCAGTAAACAAGTCCAGGGATGCGAGGGGACCAGTAAGTGTTCTATCGCGAATTCATGTCCTCCACGCAGGCAGAAGACTAAGAAAGTAAGAAACGCTCACAGCGGCGTCAAGAATTCGGACAGAAGCGACAGAGCCGCCACCTCGCAGCCTGCCAGCACCCGGAAGACATTGTGATCCGTCACCGACGTGGGTTCGGTGCTCACGGATTCAACATGGAGGGGGTAAACAGACAAATGAAAGGATACCAGCTGTCTCTCCGCAGTCAGGTGTGCCCTTGAGCTCACAGCCTCCTCCACTACGGCATGCTCGATCACGGATTCACAGATATCTTGGCGCCGTGCACGGACGGGTTTCGGGCATAATATCGGGAGACGTCGAGCTCGACTTGAACAACAACAGACAGGTGGACCTGTATCTGGCGCGCGCTAAGTTGCACTTGGTGAGGCCGTGCGACTCGGCTGTCGTGAACGGACGTGAGTGGACTTGTTGTAGCAGTATGGGTTGCCGCGTGACACAGACAGAAAGGGGCGCTCGTCTGCGGAGGACGTGAGAAACAACGAGGTTGTCGACGTTGAGGGAAATCTCAATGTTGAGAGGCGAATGGTACACGTGCACAGGTCCACACGTGTCCAAAGAAAATGGCAAAATGAGGGCAACTTTTTTTCTTCAATTTTAGCAAAACATTAAGGTTATCCGTTAGGTCACGAAAACGCGTGTTCTGGCAGCGTGTTTGCTCATGTTTTCTAAACGGCAAACACTCACAGCATACCGAAAACTGGGGGCATGTGAGTTTTCCAGTTTCACATCCGCCTAGTCACAGCAGTGCCGGATCGAGCCGTCTTGAAGGAAAGCGAAGTGGGTTTTCCGTTCTTTTCATCAGCACAAACGAGTCTCAGATCGCACGGGCCGTGTACCGGTTTGCGTCACGGTTCATCTGCGCAGAGTGCATCAACGGCTCAAAGCGCGACAGGATCTGCCACAGATGCCGTCGAAGCAACCGCGAAAGATAGACAATTAGAAGCTTCTAAAAAGTCGGTCCTCTCCAAACGGCCCCCCTCAGGCTGTCAAGAAGACGAAACGCATCACCCCTTCGACTGAGAACCATTGTATCCTTGTGGCGAGCTACAATATTGGCTTCAGCGAGTATTCACGCAGGTGGACGTGATCGGATTAGGGGATTTAGGGGATTAGGGGATTTAGGGGTTTTAGGGGTTTTAGTCTGCTACATCGTTGTGCCACCCGACGGGGCGGCACAACGATGTAGCAGACTTGCGTTTGTTGCGGGCAGGTACCTTGCAAGAGACCAGTCCGCAAAACTCGTGAAAATTCTCAATCTCGGGTTTACTTTACGTCCAGTGAGACTTTGTGGGCAAATGGAAAACAAGGCGTTATCTATATATATTTTACGGACAACCTTACTTACTGATAAGGGGGGATTAGGGGATTACTGTAGGCATTGCGCAATCAGGTGGCACCGATGCAGGCCTCGTGGCGAGAGAGTGGGCGGCAGGTCACAAAACGTGTCGTGTGCGCAAGAGCTGGCGCCAAGGGCAGCGTACACTGTTACTGTACGTAGCGGGGGAAGGCGCGGGGGTGTCGGTTGTGCGCCTAGTGTTTGAGCTCAAACACCGGAGAGCCGGCACCGCAATCCGGCGTAACGGAACCGCTAGATTGGAAAGACAACCCGCGCGAGGAGATCATCGACTTCGCCTACTTCCGGCCCTACGCCCAGCAGCAGGCATCGGGTGAACAGCGACAGTTCTACGGCTTCGTGGCAGAGCTCTACTACGACGACGAGCGCCAGGACCTCGTCGCCCCACCCGCGCACCCTACTTCGGGAGGAGGCTTACAAAGAGAGTTTCTCCACCT